GGAGGGGATGCTTGCCATTTGCCAGGGATCCCAATGTCATTGTGTGTGGAGGGAAGTGGTCTTGGATTCCCTCTCAATTTCTGAAATGAATTGAGAAAAACCTAGTGACTGTGCCTGGAAACAGATTTAAAAAGAAAAAGAATATTAGAACTGTACAGCTCTTCCAAAGAGCCATTTCCTTCTGGACCATGTTTCCTTCTCAACATTTTTATAGAAAAATTATTTTCTTTAAAGTTTTTTCTCCTTGCTCCTTCTGGTTAAGAGGTTTGAACTTCTTTATTATTCCCATTAGTTATACTTAACGTTGCCTACCCCTTATGAGAAGGCCTTTAATTAATTTTTTCTCACATGTATGTTTTCTGCAAAGATTGTCACTAACATTCCACATTTTCTTTAACTTCTCTTCCTGTCCCTTATTTTACCTTACTTCCTTTGCTATTTACTTTTCCCTACCTTCCTCTCTCCCTCTCTCTTTTTCTTCCTTTCTTTCTCAGCCACATATAATTGTTAACCTTAGACAGAGACAAATTCTTCACTCACCCTTTTCTCTGGTCTTCCTGCTATAGAAGCCTAGTTTAATCCAGATAGAGCATAAATGCTACTCAGCCCACAGAATTCCAGAGAGAACTGAAGAGTATGTGAATGGCTGTCTGTATAGTTATTCTTGATGGCTGGAGGAAGAAATCAAAGCTCTGATCCTTACATCAGTCAGTAAGTGGCATTTTCTAGAAGTTTAGGAATCATCTGATGTGAACATAAGTGGGAGGAGAGACTGAAACACCATCAACCATGGGCACACTGCCAATCAAAAAGCAGAGTCCACAGAAACAAAAGGCAATGATGCTGGTAGGGCTCATTTTTCTACAGATGAGGAAAAAGGGCTCAGAAGGGGACAGCCACTAGACAGAGGCCATATACTGATTTAAGTCTCCTGACTTCCAGAGCAGTGATCATTTTACTCCCAATTAATAATCCCACTCTAATATGAGTTCAAAGTGAGCAGGGGTTTTGCTTTGTTTACTTCTTTAAAGACAGTGCTTAGATGTGCCCTGGTCTGCATATGTGCTCAGCAATTTTTAAAAAAATGCATGAATAAGAGTCAAATTTTATTTAATTAGCTGTTGCCAACTTGGCCCATGTTTTATCTACTTAAAATAATTCTGTGAATGAAGTTCTATTAATATTATAATATTATAGATGAGGAAACAGAGGCCTAGAAAAAAATAATATTTACAAGATCAAAGACATAGTAAATGGCCACAATGAAATTTGAACCGAGATCTAATTTTTCTTTAGATTCCAGTCTCTAAACACGATTATACTTTCTTCTCACACTGATGACATTTCACTGTCACCTAACAGAAATTAGCAAAATCAAGGGCTTAGTAAGAACAGTCAAACTACATAGTGGTTAACAATCTAACTCCTAAATCCCAAGCAGAAGAAATTTTTTTGACATGCAAATGAAGTAGAGTGGTGAGAAAGAACTATAATATCTGATGAACATTCACTATTTATCAGACACTGTACTAGGAACATTGCAAAAGAAATAGCATGAGACCTTAGTAAAACCTTTCAAGTTAATATTATTACCTCAATTTGCAAATGAGGAGAGAGAGCCTTAGAAAATTTGATGATGTGCCTAAAATCATTCAGCCAATCAGTGGCAGAGCTGGGATTCAGACTTTAATCTCTAGAGCTCCAAGGCACATTCTGAAAATTTGGAAACACTTAGGTTAACAAATCCAAGCTGTGAAGAGATGTGAGAAGGCTGTTGTCTTCTTTCTCAGCTAGTTCTAAAATGAGACCTGGGATCCCATGACGTCAGCAATCTCTGACTATAGCAGTCTCCACGTTGGGCAGGTACCCGCTATAGCCTTTCTTGTGCCTCAAGGCCTTTTCTCTCCTTTCTCGCTCCAGAGCTCTGGCTGAGCCTTCTGGGACCTCTTCTTGGTTCCACAACTCAGCATCAAGTACCTGCCTACTATTTTGACTCTTCACACACCACAGCTGCATCCAGAGACTGCAGGCCTTACACGGGGAAGAAGGAAGCCTAAAACGAGAGACTCTGGTTCTAGGGATATGAAGAGACTGGAGGGTGAATGCTTAAATCCCTCATTTTTATGCAACTACCTGAGGTCCCCATTGAGAACCTTTTAAGGATCTTTCATCAATTCCCTACTCTGTCTGTCTCCCTCAACTTCATTATCTCGGACCTTGGGGATAGAGGAAAGAGAGGAGAAGAGAATAATCATGTGAAATGTCTAGAAGGGGGGCCCCAAAGATGCTATGTACTTGTAGCTACAGCTGAAGGATCTGGTAAAAGTTTTAAACAACCTCTACAACTTCAGGGAAGCAGAGTGGGTGCTATTGATTGTTTTTTTCTGTTTGACATATCATAACTGTATAGTTTATGCACATTGGATGTGACAGTGTGCATGCTGGGTATATATAACCATATGCAACATTTAAAAGAGCTTTTTAATTAATGCTTTTCCTATCACCAAAGAGAAAGCAAGAAGTCAGTCCAAATTTTTGGAAATCTTAACCCCTGTGTTTCTAATTGGAGAAATTAATCTATTCTCATAACTTGTGGGCAACATAAACCCTTGGGAAGGATAGTAAATACAAAATTCAAGTTAATGAATAATATTAACTTGAACGGTTTTACTAAGGTCTCATGCTATTTCTTTTGCAATGTTCCTAGTACAGTGTCTGATAAATAGTGAAGTAAATACATGTTAAAACGGAGATATGAAGAGTTAATCACCTATTTTTGGATTCTGAAACCTGATGGAAAGACATCATGGAGGGAGGATTTAAGGGCCATTTCAGTGTTTTCATTTCCCAGGTTATTAGTATCCAGCTTATTGGATCCCTTTTGGGATTATAAAGGTATAACTAGTAAGGGATGCCCTAGAATTCCCAATCCAACTGTAAGAGATTATTCCAATTCATTGGTTTAACTGGGTCCTTTGGACTGCGTTGCGCATCCTCTTCTGGCCACATTCCATTAATCTCTGGTTGAGCATGTATATATACACATTTGAGTGTTATGAAGCAGTATTATTCAAGTCATAGTGCCCAGATAAGCAGGATCAGAACCTGGGATGCTTGTTAGCATGCAGGTCTCTGGGCCGCATCCTTACAAAATCGGAAACTGACATTTGTGACAACCACAAAAGTTTAGGAATTTCATGTATCTTTTTATTATTTATTTATTTATTTATTTTTAAGTTATCCTTTTATTAATGATTTGTTTTCAACTCTGATTTCAGAATTTTCTATTTCCTCTATAATTAAAAATTTACCTTCAGTTTTAGCCTGGAATTCATTCCAAAGTACAGTTACCTCTTATATTAGATTTTTTAAATATTAGATTGATAGCACTACAGTTACAAAATACCACAGAATGGGTGGCTTTAACAACAGAAATTTATTTTCTTGAATTTCTGTAGGCTGGAAGTCCAAGATCAAGATGTTGGCAGGTTTCTTCTGAGGCTTTTCTCCTTTGCTTGCAGGGGCCACCTTCTCACTGTGTCCTTACCTGGTCTTTCCTCTATGCATCAGTACCACTGGTGTCTCTCTCTTCAAAAAAAATAAATTATATATATATGCATAGATATATTTTTTTCATTGATTTCAGAGAAGGAGAGGGAGAGGGAGAGGGAGAGGGAGAGCGAGAGAGGGAGAGAGAGAGAGAGAGAGAGAGAGAGAGAGAGAGAGTTAGAAGCATTAATGATTAGAGAGAATCATTGACTGGCTGCCTCTTGCACACCTACCAATGGGGATTGAGCCCACAACGCGGTCAATGTGTCCTGACTGGGAATGGAACTGTGATCTTTGGTTCATAGGTCAGCACTCAACCACTGAGCAATGCTGGTTGGGCTCTTCTTCTTATAAGGACACCAGACATAATGGATTTGGGCCCAGCCTAATGGCCTCATTTTCATTTAATCACCTTTTTATAGGCCTTACCTCCAAAAACATTTAGAAGTATTAAGGGTTGGAACTTCAACCCGTTTTCATGGAAGGATGTAATTCAGCTCATAACATCTGTCTATGTATACTGGTATATCCTATCAGTTTTTATATATTTAGAAAATGTTTTATAAATAATACTCCTCCTACTCACAAGTAATATTTATTTACAGCATATGAGTCCAAGCACTGACAAAAGATAGGTAGTATTAGATGTGCTCTTGCAGAAAATTTTTTTTAAATCTCAGCTGTTATGAAAAGAAAGAAATATAGAGACAAAGAGAGAGAGAGAGACGTAAAGATAGGGAGAGAGGGAGAGAGAGAGAGAGAGAGAGAGAGAGAGAGAGAGAGAGAGAGAGACTGGATTAATCTTTCAACAGCATTGATTAGAAGGGACATAGAATTTGATCCTATTTATGGAAGACAATTCTATGTGCTTTAAATCTTAGCTATGAAGCTTCAGTAAGGGAAAAACAGGATATGAAGTGGGAAAGATAAAGCCCATGTCTTCTAGCCAAGAAAACAGTGGAGAAAAGAAACAAGGTTGGAAGAGAAAAGATGTAAGGGAATATCTCATACACAAAGACGGTTCCTTGAGAAGAGACAGAACTAGGAAGGAATGAAAATGAGCCACATTCTAATCCAGGGGTGGGCAAACTTTTTGACTCGAGGGCCACAATGGGTTCTTAAACTGGACCGGAGGGCAGGAACAAAAGCATGGATGGAGTGTTTGTGTGAACTAATATAAATTCAAAGTAAACATCATTACATAAAAGGGTACGGTCTTTTTTCTCAATAGTTTTATTCATTTCAAACGGGCTGGATCCGGCCCGCGGGCCGTAGTTTGCCCACGGCTGGCAATGAAAATACTATTGGATTAGGCTGGAAGAATTGAAGCTAAAATTACTGTGTGTGTTTTTATTTCAGCATTGTGGGTTTTTTTGTTATTACAAATTTTCCATAATCATTAATTGGTAGAATTTTATGAGGAAGACAGACGATTTCGAAAAAAATAGTTAATAACCCCCTCCCCCCCGCCACACACACACACACACACATTCTAGTTGTAGTGTGAGTAAAATTGTTCCCATCTACATTTACCTGGTGCCTCAAGTATATAGTTCTCAAGAATGTTCCATGCTATTTTACATCTCTATTTCTATTACTGCAATAAAGAAGTCTCAGTTGTACATGTGGGGAAACTAGAATTTGGAAAGTCTAAACAGCAGAAAGTCTAAATATTTGTTGAGATTTGATATGTGTTAGGCAGCATTAGAAATTTGCATGAATTATCTCATTTAATCTTAAAAATATCACTAAATGAAAGGTATTGCAGTTATTTCCATATTTATTTTGCATTTGAAGAAACCAAAGGAACAGAGAGGAAGGTAATTTTTATAAGGTCGCACAGGCATTACGTTGTATTGTCAATCAGCTTTTTTCTTGATAATTGGAGTTCGTTATTTTGCCACGACATAGCTAAAACCAAAAATACTTATGAGCTATATGCCACAAACTTTGTCCCTTTACCCTAACCTAACCCTACTGAAAACACCTAAGGGATTTTATGAACTCAAACTTCTTAGCGATGCGTTGGCGGATTTGCTTAGTCTTGATGCTGTAGACAATGGGGTTCATGAGAGGTGGTACCAGCAGATACACATAAGACATGAGGAGGTGAACCATGTGGGGCAGATGTTCACCAAAGCGGTGCACAAGAGACAAGCCGATCATGGGGATGTAGAAGAGTAGCACTGCACACATATGGGAGACACAGGTGTTGAGAGCCCGAAGTCGCTCCAGGCGGGAGGCAATGCTTAGTACAGTACGGAGGATAAGGGTGTAGGAGAGGAAGATGAGCAGCGAGTCTATACCCACGGTGCAGGCCACCACAAAGAGCCCATAGATGTGATTGACAATGATGCTAGAGCAGGCCAGTTTCATGATCTCCAGGTGCAGACAATAGGCATGAGCCAGCACATGGGAGCGTCAGTACTGGAAGCGCTTCAGGAGGAATGGCAGGGGGAGGATGAGTAAGGCGCTTCTAAGCACCGAGATCAGCCCCATCTTGACAATTCGAGCAGGTGTCAAGACTGTGGAGTAACGCAAGGGGTTGCAGATGGCCACATAGCGGTCAATGGACATGGACAATAGAACTGAAGACTCCACTAAAGACAAGGTATGAATGAAGAACAGCTGAGTGAAGCAGGCAGGAATACCAATCTCTCTGGCATCAAACCAGAAGATGCCCAGCACAGTGGGCAGTGTAGAAAGGCAAAGGCCCAAGTCTGTGAGAGCCAGCATGGCCAAGAAATAGTACATGGGTTCATGGAGAGTGACATCAGTGCGGATGACATGGAGGATGGTAAGGTTTCCTGTGATAACTGTCAAATAGATGAAGCAGAAGGGAATAGAGATCCAGCCATGGAGATCTTCCAGACCTTGGAAGCCTGTCAGGAAGAAAGTGGCTTTTTGGAGGCTGCTATTATAAAGGATTATCATGGCTTTGCAATCTTGGATTCATCGATCTGCAATACAGAATGAGATTCCTGGAGAGTGACAGGGCCCAGAGAGTCAGGGTCTGCAAATGAAATGGGAAATAATTGGGGGACCTGATCTATTAGCCTTTTCTGGGGGGCCTAGGAAGGGGACTTTCTGGAGGGCTTTTTAAAAATATATTTAGTTGGCATAGTGCTCTCCAGTGGAATATAATGAACAACATAAACTGATAAACCTAAACAGATCCAGAGACAGAGAAGCATTGATCAGACCATCAAACCTCAGAGGGAAAGTGGGGGAGGTGGGGGGGCAATGGGGGGATAAGGACACATATGTAACACCTTAATCAATAAAATATATATATTTACTTTTCAGAACAATTTTCAATTCACAGAAAAATTGAGAAATAGTACAGTGAGTTCCCATATACCCTGAACCCAGTCTCTTTAATTATTAACATCTACATTAGTATGGTATATTTGTTAAAATTATTGAACCAATATTGTTATTAACTAAAGTCCCTCTTTATTCAGATTCTATAGCTCATGGGCACCATGTGGCTTACCCTTAAGGTGGTATGTTCACCAGTGTTGGACTCTTAGTGGTTCAGTGAAGTAATCTCAGATGAAACTTTTTTCATGTCTTCCTCCCTGAAAAAAGAATCTCCAATTCAATCAGTAGAGCATTCAGAATCTGTCTCACATATGTGGGGAACTGGCACTACACACAGTTTTTCATAATTGATCAGGTGCATATCATGTGCCTTCAAGATGTATTTATATTTTAGCTGGAGATTGTGTTTTATTCCACAATGCCTGGCCTGCAGGGAGTGCAAAGGAAGTACTGAGTAAATGTTTGCTGAACTCCCTGAACTTGTGACTTGTGACCAGAGCGATGCCCTTCTTGAATGTACATGAAAGCCTCTGGTGGCTCAGGAGGGAGGTGGTGATGAGCAAATCTGAAATCTGGGACTGAGAAATGCCTGGGAAGAAGCGGGGTTTCTGGAAAAAAATTCTAGAAAAGGGTACTTTGGGGCTTAGTTCTGATTGGTATCAGCAGAGATACGTGTCCTCAACATGAGAGTGGTTAAGCTGGGGCTAGATGTAGACATGGGCATGGTATGCACCGGATCTGAAACAGAAATATCCAAGTGAAACCTAAAATACACAGGAAAAGCCTCTAATCTTAAGCTTATAATGAGGAAATGAAATCTTCAGGGTCTCAGAGTGAGCTATGCCTTTGGGACTTGGATCAATAAGACACACAAGTATTGGTCTGTCCCTGTTACTCACCGGGACATTCCTTTCCTCCTGCTTTGGAACTTTAATTCAACTGCATTTATTGCAAGCCATACCATAATGCGTCTATAAAAAGAAATATGGTGTGACTAGTATATTTTCATCACATGCATAAAAAGCTCAGAATAGCTAATATTTATTTAATCTGTTGTGTTTCTGATTCTTTACTAAGTGCCTAATGTACATTATGGCTTTCTACTCTCATAGCCTTCATAGGAGATAAGTTCTATTCTAAGAAGCATATTACAAGTGAGAAAATGGTGGCACAAAGAGGTGAAAAGACCTTGGTATGGTTATAGAGAAAGTAAGTGTTGAGGCTGGAATTCAAACCCTGACAGCATACTTCAAAGCCTGTATTATTATCCTACAATGTAGGACCTACATCATATTTATTCCTTCTTACAAAAGTCAGGCAATTAAAAAGTAATTTAAAAAACCCACACTATAATTTTTATACCTTGGCACACCTATGGGTAACCATTTCCATTATGTGCATAACACTAGATGGACAAAAAGGGGGTAACAATAGCCCAGCCACTGTAGCTAAGTGGTTGAGCATTGACTCATAAACCAGGAGGTCATGGGTTCAATGTCCAGTCAGGGCACATGTCCGGGGTGGGGGCTCAGTCCAGTGTGGGGCCTCTAGGAGGCAGCCAATCAATGATTCTCTCTCATCATTGATGTTTCTATCTCTCTACCTCTCCCTCTCTAAAGTAAATTAAAAAAATAAATATACATTTTATATAAGGCTTCTCTTTTTTTCTCTCATTAAGGTAGAGGGACATTGAAGGGCTAGGGATAAAAAAAATAAAAGAAGAAAAATCCATAACCACCTTTTGCCATTCATACTTCAAATCAAAACAAGTAATAATAGTAATACAATAATTAATATAAGAATAAAGCCCCTCTGGTTTTATGATTCCAAAGTAGAAACGGAATGGATATAAAGAGGGGCATCTAGGAAAGTGGTGAAATGGAGACAAGTGGAGACTTGGAAAGAAGACGGTCGGTGAAGGAAAAAGAATGTTTTAGGATTTGGAGAGCATGCTGTGGGTGGCAGAGGCAACAATGCAATCTCACTCTAATATTGAGAGAAAAATTGTAAAAAACAAAGAAGGGAAATGTTTCCATCAATTAAGGGGAGATGCAAAATTTCCCATCAATTAGAGGGAGATGTGTGGCTTTTCTGCCATCAGACTTACATACAGTAAAGCTGGTTTCTATGCATCTCACACTGAGTCATTTCAGGGAATTTGTGAAAGAGAAGAAACATGTAGTGGTCATTTATTTCACTCATATCTCCAGACAGAAAAGGATCATTATGCCTGCTTAGTGAGGAGCTACACGCATAATATCCTGTCCTGGTTATTATCCTTCTTCTGAATACATTCCCTGTATGTTATATTTTGGGTATGAATAAGAGGCAAGTGTGCCAGGTAGGGGGATGCAGGAAAACATCGAAGGAAGTCGAGCAGCACTGGAGAGATGGCATTGCTGTATTACTAGAGTCCTGCAACCCTTGCACAGGTTTGGAACCTAATACAGTATGCTGAATAAATGCATGGATGGATGAATGAAATGAAATGCAGTAAGGATCTTCTCAAAGGCACTCACCTACAGAATAATGAATCAGAGAAAGTGTCAGCTGATTTCTCCACTAGAAGTTATCCTGATCCTAATACAGTAAGGATCTTCTCAAAGGCACTCACTTACAGAATAATGAATCAGAGAAAGTGTCAGCTGATTTCTCCACTAGAAGTTATCATATTTTCTTGATCCTCCCTTCAGCTCCAATTTATACTAATACTCCAAATGATGAAAAAAGAGATGAGAAGCAGCAGCAAGGATTAAACCCAATGATTAAGATGACTTAAACACACACACACATACACACACACACACGCTAATGCTCCAAATGTTGAAAAAAGAGATGAGAAGCAGCAAGGATTAAACCGAATGATTAAGATGACTGAAACACACACACACACACACACACCTCAATTTATTGGAGTGACAATGGTTAATAAAATTATATAGGTTTCAGGTGTACAATTCTATAATACATCATCTGTATACTGTATTGTGTGTCCAGCACTTCAGGTTAAGTCTCCTTACAAAATCACACACAGGGATAAAGTAGAGCTTAACCCACAGGTCTCCTATCCCCAGTTCATCTGCCATTCAAAACTCTCTTGACTAATTTGCTGTGGGGGAATAAGCAACTAGCTAACTGAGAGCTCAGTGTATAGTCCAGGTTAGAGGTGCCCCAGCTATCCTGCTGTTCCTGACTGTTCTCTGTGATTCTTACAATACATACCTGAGCACCAACAGCTGCAGAGATAGGGGCTTGGAGTGCATATTCTTCTCAGTCGGAACTCAGCTACAACAATATTCTCTGCTGAAAACACAGGGTCTTTTTGAAGAGTCCAGCAGCTTCTCTCCAGGGGCCTTGGAGGCGGAGAATCCCCTGCGGCGTTCTCAAGGCCCTTAGCTGAGGATGGAAGTCCTGGGAGGCTGAGAAATTCCCATGCAGTATGTGGAGGAATAAAGGTGTTGGGATGCTTATATTTATGGATTTCAATTTCTGAAACTGGATAAGAAAGACCTCACTAGGCCTGAAAAGCAATATTATGAGAGAGCATTTTTTTTAAAATTCAGATTCAGATAAAAATAAAGCTGA